CTTGTCTATGATCTCAACATGATCCCACAGAGGGCAGTGATCTCCCTTCTCTCTCCATATGTGGTCAGCTATGCCTGATTTTTCTACTTCTCCTCGCATTACAGCTTTCTAGTGTTCTTCAAGCCTTACCTTGAGGGGGCGGCCTGTCTCTCCTTTATATTCCTTTCCGCAGCTGCACAGGATAGCGTACACACAGTCTTTAGTCATGTTCTCCTCTATGGGGGGGGGTCTCACTCAAGAGAGATATCTGTGAAGTGTTGTCAAGCTTTTGAAGGTTATCCTGATGTTATATGGACTGCAGATCCTTTGTATTTTCTCTGATAACCCCTTCACATAAGGCAGGCAGACTGTTTTCTGAGTGTTGTTGTCCTCCTCCTCTTGTACCCGCCTATCCCAGTTTTTGGGGGCTGCTGCCATGTACCCAGGGTAGTTGTTACATTGTAGGGTACTGCTTATACTGACCAATTCTTTATCTAACATCTCTGGGTCGCCACTTATGACTTTTGCTCGGTGTTGTAAGCAACGGACGATCTCTTTCTTTACGTTGTATGGCTGGTGGGAGTTGAAATTGAGGTACTGTTCGCTGAATGTCAGTTTATGGTATATGGATGTCTTAAACCCATGCTCTGTTCGAGATATTAGAACATCCAGGAATGGGAGTGTGTTGTTACTCTCTTTTTCCATTCTTCCAACCACATGAAGAAGGCCAGAGCATACAACGGCCGAAATGTTGTGATAAATATGGCGACAAAGATGAGGACAATAGTCCGAATAATGTAAATAATCTACACAGGTCTTGAGTAATTTTAAAACATATTTTAATAATTGGTATCTTTTTTAAAATATTAATTATTTATTTTAATTCAATTTACCCAAGCATAATTAATATTCAAAAGATTTTTCTTTATACAACTAAAAACAGATTAGTATATTGTTAGTAAATAGCAATAGAGTAACAAATTATTAAAATTAGTATTGTCAAGAATTACAATCTAATATTTTATGGTCAAATGCTTACAGTTCTTGTGGTGTATGTGAATTCTCCATTAAAATTGTTTAAAGAATCTGGCAAATATTCTGTTGGCCTGAGAAATAAAAGAGAAATCTCTTGGTTTTAAAACAAGCAACTTCACCTGGAAACTGAAATTTTTATTAACATCCAGTTTTACTGAATCCACATAATGATATTTAAAACTTTGCATTGGGCACAAATAATTTATTATCATTATTTAAATTTAAAAAATATTTTTATATAATCTAGCCAATTTCATTTAGAATATATATATATATATATATATAGATATAGATATAGATATTACTTTCCCTGACGATCCATTTAGGTGAAACCTAGGTAGGTTTGTCAGACTCACTAGGTGTATCTAGGTCTGCTCTACAGTTGTATTGAGCGCTTTTGTTAGTTGTTTACTCGTATCGGGGTTTTTTCTTTGGGCTTCAGACCTGCATCTGTGCGATTTTTTTGTTGGCAGAAGTTCATGTTTGTAGTTCTTTCTTTTTTTAAAACTTTTTCCCCTCGAAATTGATTTGATTATTAGCAAATCAAAAATTTGAAGGTTTTCGAAACGAGTCTAGTTATCTATATATATATATATATATATATATATATATATATATATATATATATATATATATATATATATATATATTATTTGTATTTAGGCAACAATCCTTCTTTTCATGCACATTTCAGAGTCTTTACTAGTTGGTTTTTTATAAACAGAAGTTTTAAAAGTATTATTACTAAAATCAACGAGAACATCTAAGAAAGGAAGTTTATTTTTTTCATTAAGTTCATAAGAAAAATTTAGGATGAAATTTTGTTGAAATGTAGCTTTCAGATTTTCTAATTCTTTCTTGTTGTCAGCTAAAATAAAGATATCGTCTACATAATGAACATATATTTTAGGTTTAATAACTTTATTAAAAACCTTGTTTTCAACATAGGACATAATAATTGGAGAAGCATGGCTCGAGAGGGTTTCTCATACTTACTCCATCAGTTTGTGTGTAAATAGTACCATTCGGGCTATATTAAACCAACTAGTAAAGACTCTTGCCATCTTAATTTCTCTAGTGAATACTCTCTTAGATATAAAATAGGTGTTATTAAAAATTTTCTCATGAGAGTGCATGAGAATTCATTCCCTTGCACGCTTTTCTTTAACGAATTAAACAATGTAAAACAAATGCTGATTAATAATGGATTTTCCTAATCAATTGTTGGATTTCCACATTAGCTACCTTAGATATTCTGTCTAAGGTAGCTAATAGAAACAATGAGAATAGAAACATAAACAATAACATTAATATTTTTTATAAAATTGTATTCCTGATCAATCAAAATTTGGAAATAATTATATAGGCCACACTACATGTTTGACATGCAGACTCACTCTACACCTTTCTGACCATAGCTCAATTAGATCTCATTTAAATATTCATGGAGACCTACCGGACACTATTTGTAACATACTTGTTGACAACACTAATATAATAGCATCATCTACATGCAAAAAAGGCTAAAAATAATGGGAGCTTTATTAATAAAAACAAACAAAAAAACTACACTTAATAATATCAACTATGAACATGGACACAATATCTTGACCGTGTTTTGAAAAATGAAAACATTTTATAAAACATACATGCAACAAACTATTTCTTATTTAACAGTTAAAATATTTGATCCTTGAAAATAGCTAAATGTATAGCCGAAAGCACTCAGATAAAAAGAACATTCGGACAGTTTTTATATAATTTATCATCTGAAAAGAAAAAAGTTATGAGATCACATGAGAAATTGTATAAAAACTAAATAAAAGCACCTTGTCTGTCATATTCAATGAAATATGCATATATATATATATATATATATATATATATATATATATATCTGTTGTAACAGAAAAATTGTCCAGTTAAACTCTGAACTGTTTTATCTTAAAAATGATTAAAGATATCTTACTGGAATTCTCAGAGCTTTTTATAACTATTGAACTCTACTTTAAGCAATAAGAATGTATAATTACTCTCTAAGCTTAACAGAAGTATCATGATGAAATTGATCATAAACAAAGATGACATGTTCATAGCTAAGGATCAGAAGCTCATGATGGATGGAAACAAAGTTCAAATATATAAATATTATTCCAGGATCATTTTCCAATTTATTAAAGATGATCTTCACCCTCTCTAACATTCTTTCTATCCTGGAGTAACAAGGTGCCTAACAGGTTTCACATACAATTTCATTTTCAAGTCTTTTTTATTGCTCTTTGGACTGTTATAGCTGAAGCTCCCCTCTCACATGCCAAATGTCTTATGGATTAAGTTGGATCTTTTCTAATTGATGTTTTTAGCTCTGAGTTGAAATGATCCTCTTCCTGTTGTGATATATTGTGATTTATTTCCTCTTTATAAAAGAGAATTTATATACATTATTTACATGTGAATTATTATCCTCATGTTTATTGTTATCACAATGTTTTGGCTGTTGTAACCTCTAGCCTTCTTCAGGTGTATACTGATCTGTATAACCTACTGAGAATTCTAAACTGAGTCCTTAGTCTGCATGTAAATAGTGTAAATAATGATCATTCCTTATCTCAGAAATTCAGACAAAATTTACATACTTGCTATTCCAGTTTTCCCATTCCCCAGATTCATCCACAAAATAATCAAATAAATTTATATCCTGTTCTTCCTCCTCTTCAGGAAACCTACCAAAAAAAAAAAGAAGAAGAAAATGCATCATTTATGAAAAATGTTGATTCATTTTATATTTTTTTTAAATTTTATTCTTTAATAACTGTTCTATATTTGAGTTTTAATACAAATTCATTTTATATGTACATTATTGATTCATATAAATGTGTAGCATTAACAGTTATTGGCATGGAAAGTGAAATTGGCAAACCAAGTTCAAATTCCAGCCTCACCTGTTGTGTTTATAAAACACCCTAAGAAACTGCATGAGACCCATCTCTTCTCCCAGCAACTGTGCATGAAATAGCAGAGTATACTAGGCTCCCTAACCTTGGTTGGCAACCAGTCTCAGAGAAGGACAACTCTGAAATGAAAAACCGTGTAGAAAGCAACAAGAAAGTACTTCTCTATCTTCCTCAAAAATAGAGATAATAAAGAAAAGGAATCTGTAGTGAGTCATGGTTACCTATGTCCCAAAGAGACATAGCATTAAAAAAGATTTGTACTAGCAGACAATATTGAGGAACAATACTATTCAGATTTTATGAAAAATTGCATCCTTGTGTTTTGTATTGCTTTTATAATATTAAGCCTGTATTTCTTTAAATGTTATTAAACACCCCATTTTTACATCAACCACTGTTTGATTTGGTGTGCTTTATTGCTCATGCATGGAAAGCATCATAGCACAAATGGTAGAGCATGCTGGATCAAATGGTAGTTTCCCCTACAAAGGACAACACAGGTTCGATCCCAGCTGGAGAACAAATTTCCTTTACTAAGATTTCTTGAAGGTGCAGACTGATAGACACTGTTTAATAAATAATAACTTTTAAAGTAATAAAAATGTCAGATTCAAAATAAATCCATTAATTCTTTAGTAAGCATGCATAAAATTATGACTTAAAGAGTACAATTCTTTTATGCAGCTCAATCAGATTTAACAAATATTTGATGCTATAATAATAATAATAATAATAACAAAAAAAGAAGAATTATCTTGTACTGACAACAAAACAAAACATTTATTCTAAATGGCATGCAAATGATTTATTATTGTCATGGTTATCAATTTATTTTTTACAGTACTTTAGAGTGATAACATTTTTTTTTTCTCATTGGCTGTTGTTATCCACTAAAGTTGGTTGATTTGAACAAATCATTTTATAGGCTTTTAACTAAAACTTTTTTCATTGGTTTTTGGATTGTATTGTATGAAATTCATTATGGGAATAAATTTAATTTCATAAGCAGTAATTTAATACAGAATATGGTATTTACACATTTGTCCTTGACTCCAAGAGAAAGCTGCTGAAACTTTTCCTGTCTTCTTCATTTAGATGACCACCAAAAGCCCATATCAAGCAGAATAGAAACAGTTTTTTGACGTGTACATTTCCAGCCAGTTCCAGTTTATCTGATAGCAACAATGTAAGCATCTGCAAGCAATTGGTGAACATTCCAACTTCTGTCACATATGTTGAATGCCTGACAATCAAATGCAATAAATAAAAGCAAAAGTAAAAACTAAGTCAAATAATTTACCTAAAATTTAAATGTATTGTAAATTTATATATTATTAGTAGAAGTATAATTATTATTTATGATTTTAAAAAATAACAGCATATTTTGTCAAAGTTATTTAGACTTATTGGGTTTTTAAATGTGAGTCTTTAAACATATAGTGCTTGGGCAAAGGAAATAACTCTAATACAATGAAAAGTTACAGACAAAATTCACTTGGTGTATTATATAATTTCATTAATTCTATATACTGGAGTCTTTTTGGAATTGTGTAAAAAACAAACACCATTTGATACACTGAAACCAATCAGATAAAGATTTTAGAGAAGAAAGTGAAGTTCTTAATTTAGTACTGTAGATTAGTAGGTTTTATTCTTGTCATAAAACTTCACATGATAGACTAAGTGCTGACCCAATCTCTCAGGAGTGCTGCTCCAGTTTACTAAGAAGTTAGGAGATTTTTACATTTATGGTTATTACTGAAATTGGAATGTTTGGGCTTTGAGGTTTTCTTGATAGGCAGTTGCCAGATTAAAATTTTCTTTAAAAAAAATTAATTATTCTGTTGAATTTGTGCTTTACGGTTCTTACTACATTTGCTAATTAAACCAATTAAGGATGAAGCAATCACATGTATTTTATATTTTTGTATAGCAACATTTTTATTGGTCTGGAAATGAAAGTGCTTATTTTTATTTTAAAATACCACAAAGATAATCTAAAACTTTGGTCACAGCAATAACAAGACATATCTATGCTAGTTCAAAATTTACTTAGAGATTTCTTAGTTTGCCTTTTATATACATATCAAAATGACCTCCTTTCAAATAATATGGCTAATTTCACCAGGTCTACTACCGATGTGTTAACAGCTATCACTGAATTTGTCTGTCAAGCCTTAGATAAGAATGTTTGAAAATTGGGCTGTGTTTCTAGATATTTCAAAGGTATTTGACAGAGTTTAACATGCTGGCCTTTCTCCATAAAGGAAAGTGAAATTTTGGCTTAATTCAGTTGTTCCTAACAAATCCTTTAATGAAGTTTGTGTTGAATGGGTATATTTCCAGATCATTTTATATTAACATGGGGGTCCCCCATGACTCAATCCTTAGACCTATGCTATTTCTAATTGTCATCAATGACCTCCTTGATGTCATCAATTCCCAGCTAAGTATTTATGCAGATGACAACGATTTACTCCTATCACTACAAAGTCTGAAAGACCCAACAAATCAGTGCTTAACTGGGTCAAGAAATGACTAGTAAATTTAAATGCCTTCAAAACTCAACTGCTTTCATTTAATCACTACAATGAATCTTTTCTGAACAAAAAACATTGCTGCTATTATTTCAGACTGTAAGACTGTTTTGCTTCAATATTAGCATCATTTTATGCAACATTTCAAAATTTTCTGTAGAAGGCTTATGTCTTGCTCTTATTGGCATTTTATACAATCATACTAATTCTATTATAGTTGTGTGTATGTGTGTGTGTGCAAACAGAAAAAGAGTGAGAGAGAGAACTTTCTTCTCACTTTTGGTTGTGACATTTTTTGTATTGTATTTTATCCTTTTGTCTATAGCTTCATCTCTTTCATTTTTTCATCTTTTTTATTCTTTCTAAAATGCAGCTGCTTCAACCATACAGCTTTGTTGGGTCTGCCCAGATAACAAATATTGAAGATGGTACTGAAACTATCACATAAATTCTTGATATTATTACTGTTTTCAAATCTAAAAAAATAAAAAATATCAAGTTTAGCATATAAAACAGAAAATGGTGATTATTTTAGCGTTTCTGAGACAGTAGAAAGGAAATAAATGAATTAAAGATTTGTATTTAAGGAAAATTTGGTTATGTCATAAAAATGTTTAAGACACTTACTTTACTTTTGTTTTTAAAAATTTGACCACACCTTCAATTGTAGTCTGGAAACACTGCATCAAAATCTAAAAAATAAAATGCAAAAATTTCTTATAGTAGTGGTATATATATCAAAATAAATATTCTAGTCTTGACAAAAATTATTAATTGAAAAATAATAAAAGAAACATTTTATTCACATGACTTGCTTTTGACTATATATACAAAGTTGGCCAAAAAGTCATGACTCATTTAGGAAGCAGAAAGAAAACAACAAATTTCCAAGGAGTACAGCATTTTGAGTTTGTTCTACACAGTCACATCATCAACACTAAACTGTATTGCCAGTAGGTATGACAAACTAAAGGAGGAATATCCTGCTTTGGTTGAGTGTTGTTTCAGCAAAACAATGCAAGGCCACACACTATCAGGTTGACTAATGAAAAGTTTAAACAGATGGACAATATTGAGATTCTTTCACATCCACCATTCAGTCCAAATGCAGCTCTGAGTGACTATGGCATATTCTGATCAATGGCACACTTCTTCTGAGACCAGAAATTCAACAATTTTGATGAGGTGAAGGAAGCTTGTTTAGGGTTTTTTTGATTCAAAGCCAGCAGACTGGTATCTGGGAAAGATTTGGATGCTGGTTGATTGCTGGTAGAAAATCATAAAGAATGATGAACTTTATTTTGAGGAATAAATGTTAGTGTTGTTCCATAAAATTTTGTTGTTTTCTTTCTGCTTTCTAAGTGAGTCAGGACTTTAATATTTACATTATGTCAGATTTTATTCTACAAGTCAAATTTTTCACATTAACCAAGATTTTCAGGATATAGTTACATATAAGCAATATATCATGTGAGATTCAGCTTATATAAAAAATCTATCCTAATTAAAAATATTAATATTAATTTGTTTTGGGAGGTCAGGTTTTATTATGCGATTTATAAGTGCAATATAAATAAATAGCCTGTCTATATTTCTGAGATGAGGTATTATTTACATTATTCAGACTATTGTCCACATCTTTGTCGCCATATTTATCACAAAGTTTCGGCTGTGGTTGGAACGTCGAACTGAACCGTTTATTTCGCTCACCGGGGTAGACTGTTCTAGTTCCACATGCCATGTTTGATGGATGTCAGTTATCAGTTATCTCCTGTTAATTTCCCTCTGAAAGTTCTCCACTGCCTTAACCGGGTATTGAACTCACACTCTTTGGGTCCTGTCACTGGATCTAACCAACGCCTTTATCCACTGTACCATTTTTCCTTGAGGACATCTGGGTATGAATTTCTGGGTAATATTCTGGGTATTATAAACTTAATGTCTTCAGCAACCATTTTTACCAGTGCTCATATTGCAATTTTTGCTGTTATCATCGCATGTTTTTATCAGAGCTCATATTGCAATTATGTTGTTATCATTGCTTTTTCTCTGGCACTCCTTATTACTGGTTCCCATATTGTATTTATTTCTATGCTTGGTCGGCTCAGGAGATTTTTGTGGCCTAGCATATGTGTTGATTCCTTAAGTTTAAGAATTTTCCAGTGGTGTTCCTTGTCAATGATCTCAACCTGATCCCACAGAGGGCGGTGATCTCCCTTCTCTCTCTCTATATGTGGTCAGCCACTCCTGATTTTTCTACGTCCCCTCGTGTTACAGCTTTCTGATGTTCTTGAAGCCTTACCTTGATGGGGCGACCTGTCTCTCCTTTATATTTCTTTCCGCAGCTGCATGGGATAGCGTACATACAGTCTTTAGTCATGTTCTCCTCTATAGGGGATCTTACTTGGGAGAGATATCTGCGAAGTGTCGTCAAGCTTTTGAAGGTTGTCCTGATGTTTTATGGACTGCAGATCCTTTGTATTTTCTCTGATAACCACTTCACATAAGGCAGGCAGACTGTTTTCTGAGTGATGTTGTCCTCCTCCTCTTGTATCCGCCTATCCCAGTTTTTGAGGGCTGCTGTCATCTACCCAGGGTAGTTGTTACATTGTAGGGTACTACTTATACTGACCAATTCTTTATCTAACGTCTCTGGATTCTTATTTATAAATAAATTGGAAAAGATACTGGTTGCAGAAACATTTAACACAATGTCCTATATATATCAATAAATTCTTATTTAAGATGATAATATGAGATTCATAACAACTTTATTACAACCTACCTTAGTCTTTTATTTATTTTCATAATTTTCACAATTTTTCTGTTGTTTCATCTTTAATATTACTTAGAGGAGTTTTTATTGATTCCTAGTGATATTCTTTACTTCAGTATTATTCCATTCTATAAATTTGGTGCATTTTGAAACCTTTTTTTTTCGCAAGATAGGCAATAGTCAGATTTTGAGAACAGGAGAGAGCATTATTTTGCATGAACATTCTTTAACTTAAAATTTTGTGGTTGTGACTTATGTCATTCAAAAAAAGATCTTGTTTGACAAATTACAATAATTCTCTACATTTATCTTGATACTATTATCAACTTTGAGGAGACCAATAATTTTAGTACCTACAATACTAAACCAAAACATTATTTCATCTCCTCCCTATTATCTTGTTTGTTGTGTTGTTTAACTATTTCCATGAAGGATCCAGCCTCAAGCATAGATGTAGATCTATATTCATCAGCAAAAATTACAGTTGAGAAATCAGTTTTCATGTACTTCTTCATCCAGCTTATACATGTATCATTGTGATGTTTATTTAAATGTGGTAGTTCCATTGTTTTTATACCTTTAGCCAAACTTCTTAATATTCTGCATCTTTTCTCTTGGTTTACATTTACAATACTAGATTTTTTAAATATTTTCTTGGTGGTCAATACACTTTTCTTGCTTATTAATCTTTTAATTTTTCACAAATATCTTTTTGTGACAAACTTAAAATCAATTTTTATGTTCTTCTCAAGTCAATGTTTTATCTTTTGATCATTCTCAGATTTGGATCTATTCAAATCTTTAGTAATTTCCAATCTTGCGTTCAAGTCACAAAAGAGTTTGTCAGTATCTTGTTTCTCTGTTAAGGTTATATCTTTTTTACAATCCATAGCAATATATATATATATATATATATATATATATATATATATATATATATATATATATATATATATATATAAATTAAGACAAACAAATATCAACAACTTTATTATTAAATACATTTATTTACAACATGATGAACAACACTCAAGTTGAATAATAAAATCTCCCACCCACAAATATTTATAATACAAACACTTGTTATAAACTGAAAATCACATGGTATAGTTATCATATAAATATAACAGGGTGGTAACCCTGGTTCAACATTTTACTGCTTGAGGGATACAAGGTGGTAACCATGGTTCAATGTTTGATTTTGTTTGTTTTGTTTTACGGCATATCAACCTCAATGGGTTATTTAATGTCAACAAAATTTTTATTATCTGTCTATAATTCTGAGATGAGGTATCATGTACACTATTTACAATATTCAGACTATTGTCCTCATCTTTGTTGCCATATTTATCACAATGTTTTGGCCATTGTATGCTCTGATCAGGAGGTTTTGATGAGTGTGGAACCACCTTTTAATTGCTGGTGTTCCCAGGTCCACCCTGACCCGGGGTGGTAGCACCTGTTAGGCAAATGCTATAGGCGAATAGTTCACCCCAAAACTGGGGTCAAAACACTATGTAAGTGTAAAAATAGGTTTTAATACCAGACATACTTTAAAAAATTATTACCAGCAATAAACTTTTGAAGAAAAAATATTACTAGCAATACATTCTTGAAAAAAAATATTACCAGGTATTGAACTCACACTCTTTGGGTCCTGTCATTGGATCTAACTAACAGCTTTATCCACTGTGCCATGTCCATATATAACACTGATGTTACATGGACTGCTGATCCTTGAGGACATCTGTGTATGAATTTCTGGGTATTATAAACTTAATGTCTTCAGCAACCATTTTCTTTTTTTTTAACAGTGCTCATATTGCAATTTTTTGCTGTTATCATTACATGTTTTTTTTACCAGAGCTCATATTGCAGTTTTTGTTGTTATTATTACTTCTCTCTTGCACTCCTTATTACTGGTTCCCATATTGTATTCATTTCTATGCTTGGTTGACTCAGGAGATTTTTGTGGCCGAGCATATGTGCTGATTCCTTAAGTTTACAAATTTTCCAATGATGTTCTTTGTCTATGATTTCAACTTGACGCTTTTTCTCCATATGTGGTCAGCCATACCTGATTTTTCCACTTCCCCACATGTTACAGCTTTCTGATGTTCTTCAAGCCTTAACTTTAAGGAGGTGGCCTGTCTCCCCTTTATATTTCTTTCCACAGCTTTACGGGATGGCATACACACAGTCTTTAGTCATGTTCTCCTCTATGAGGGGTCTTACTCAGGAGAGATATCTGCGGTGTCATCCAGCTTCTGAAGGGTGTACTGGTGTTATATGGACTGCTGATCCTTTGTATTTTCTCTGATAACCCCTTCACATATGGCAGGCAGACTGTTTTCTGATTGTTATTGTCCTCCTCTTGTACCCGCCTATCCCAGTTTATTGGGATTGCTGCCATGTACCCGGGTAGTTGTTACGTCATAGCGTACAACTTATACTTTATATATTTTTATAGTAAAGATACCAACAATATATTTTTATATAAAAAAAAATTACCAACAATACATATTTATAGTTAAATCAGTGAAAATACCTATTTATAGTAAAATTATGAACAATACATTTTTAAAATAAAATGACCAGCAATACATTTCATGATTACCAACAATACATTTTATAACAAAATGACAAACAATACATATTATCTGTAGTTGAAGGCATACAATTACATTCAAAATATATTTAGTTGAAGCCATAAAATTGTGTTCAAAATATTTAAATTTTGGCATTAAATAACCCACAGAGGTTGATATGTTGTTAAACAACCAAATTAACTTGCTTAATAAAATCTGACAGTGAAGGATATTGTGGTAATAAAAATTAAGGTTTCTAAATTACAGATCATTAAGTTATCAAAATTATAATTAAAACTTCACTAAGAATATTGATTTCACATTTAACAAGTCTTTGAAAATGATTTTACCTCCTCCATATCATTTAGATTCGGATTTCCATTGGCCTGTTTTAAGAGGGAAAAGTAAAATAAGCATAAACAAAAATAAATAGTGATATTCTACAATTTTAGTTCAAACTAAATATACAACAATTCATCATTAATTTATATGTTAGTCTATAAATATTATTAAATCAATGGCAATAACAAAAAGTGCAGCATCTTATAAGCATGATAAAACCAAGAGAAAGTTTTATTTGCTCTGTACATTAATAACCAATATAAAATATCTGGTAGATAATCTTAATTTCAAATAAATCTACTTGTTTTAAATTATACTTGAAATTTCTTGATTGAATCTTTTTTTAATTCTTTGAGACAAATTTAAATAGAAGTAAGCCATCACGTCAATTTAAAGATAATAATTAATAGACTCAAAAACAAAAGATATCATACAATGATTTTTCTGTTTTTCCTTGTCTTGATCCATGTTTTTGCCAATAATTCCCATCCAACAATACCATCCACATAAATTAATCCCTGCACAACCAAAAAAGAAGAAATATTCAAAGATATAAATTCCTGAAAAAAACATATTATAGCAACTGCATTGTGCTTTTTAATTATTATCCTTATCTTTGTTGTTATAATTACAATATTTAAAACTAATGCAGGCTTATTTCTGAACATTTTGGAAATATTCTGAATATATAAATTAGTAAGGTCTATTTTCTGAAATTTTGAGATGAAGAATTATCATAGCACATTAGTTCAGTCAGACTGTTGCTCACATCTTGAATATTTTTATTTTTCATAACATTTTGGTGATTGTCCTCTATGGTCTTCTTGTATTTTGACTTTGTTCCATATAGGTTTGTGATGTCCCACTTTTCCCTCTACATCTGATCAAATATAATTTTCATAGTTTCTCCATGAAAGATATCTTTTAAATATTCTTCCAGCCTTGCCTGGCTGATGACCATATCACATTGAAACACCACTTCTCATACAATCACCAAAGTTAAGCAATATTGAGCCTAATCAGTACCTACATGGATGACCACTTGGGAATACCAGGTGCTGTAAGCTTGCATGTGTGGGTACTGTAATAGACAACAACTCTGAATTGGAATTAGGAAAGCCAAGTTCCAATTCCAGTCAGGTTTATTATATTCACTTACATGCAAATACCCCTAGGAAAAAGTATAAATCTACCTCTTCTTCCCACAGTTATGGGTTAATTAGTAGTACTTGTATCAGTAAATACTTATTATTTCAAAAAAAAATTCTTATAATCTAAAAATATTTTCTACTTTCAAATAACCTGCAAAGGGTTGATAAGCTGTAAAAAACAAATCAATCAAATCAAATCAATCCAGTCTTAGTTTTACAGGGCAATCAGTTTTGTCTTTATAGTCTCTTCCACAACTGCACAGGATATTATAAATGCAGTTATTAATCATGTTCTCATCTTATGGAGGCTTGAATTTGGTTATGTATTTCTGAAGAGTGGAAGTGCTTTGGAAAATTACCCTGATATGGATGACAGATTCTCTGAATCCTTTCCAAATACAACTCTGATGGATCATGAAAGTTTTTGTTACCCACCCTGATCCTCTGCTAATGAAGGCCAATATTATTTTTGCATGGTAGTTGTTACATTGAAGGGGATTTCTCATACTGATTATCATTTATTAGTATGTTTCTGAATCACTGTTTATGAGTTTCGGTTTGTTGTGGACAATCCCTTTTTTCACACTATATGGATGACAGTGTAGGGATACAAAAGGTGATTGTCTCCTTTTCACTGAGAGTCATGTGATGGACAGTGAATGCTGTCAAGGGATAGAGCAGTTGCAATATAGAGCCTCGAGAAGAAGGACGTCTCTAGCCCACAGCAGTAGATCTTACATATAATATGGAGATACTCCTGTGTCTGGAGAAGCCATGTTTAGAACACCAGATTCAAATGGGCCAGATTCATCAACTATGTCCCAGGTGTGGATATATTCCATGAAGGGGAAATGGCAAGTCTTGGGTTGAGGACTGTGAGCTGTAGCATTTGGCAGCTGGCTGCCCCAGGCAAAAGCCTAAGTAGGATGAACAAACACGTGTGTTTTGACACTAATAAGCTTACTGATTGAATTTGACTGCTGCTTTCACTATTGTATGGAGTGATGTCATTAAGTGGCCATCACGTAACCTATGTGACTTATCTCAATCAAAGGGAGTTAATCGCCTTTTGTATCCCTACAACAGGAATTAAAATTCAGATAATGACTGGTTATAATATACAGATGTCTTGAAACCCTGATCTGAGTTATTAAGACATCTAAGAAAGCCAGTTTATTTTTCACTTCATTTCACAATATGACCTGTATTGAGATATTATTGAGTTCACATGATCTGACAGTATTTGTATATCTTGTTAGTGAGATCAGAATATTGGAATGAAGTCAGAATACTGGATGAATAGCACTTGAGAATAAAACAGCTGAAACGATTGGTGCACATGATAGGTTATTATAACCTCCTTAGTAGACCTAGCATAAAATTAAACATGATATAGGAATTTTTGATCCTACCACCTAAAAATCTTCAAAAATTTAAATGCATTGCTAATTGCCATCTTCTGTTTTCCTGAACCCTGTCCCTTTGTTGTCATTTTCTCCTCACTAAAGTCTTCTCATTCTCTTTCACTAGCTGTAACCCCCCTGTATCCTTGTGGCATTATCATCTTTCTTGGGGTGAAATGATAAAAAAAAAAGGAGAAAAAACATACACATTAGGTTTAAGATTCCACAAGTACACCAAGGTCAGGTAAAAAATCTGAGCAGACAAAAAAAAGAAAAAAATCTATTACACATTAGCACATACAATGAAATGAGACAATTATTTGTTTAATGATGTCATTTTCAAAACTACTAAGAAACCTCTATTATTTTGAAATTTATTACTAATTAGAAATTTCTGCTTATTTCTGGGATGTCCCAATTTTTCTCTCTACCTGGGATGAACTAGAAGCAGCAATATCACAAAGACCAAATGCGACTAGCGAGAAACGTTCTGAGTATAAAAACATTCAAGATGAGGACAACGACTGCGGGAATAGTCAATTTGCATGATACCCAATTTTGATTATGAAATAGAAATTTTGTAGTAGTAAATGTAAATGCTTAAAAACATTAAAGAAAAAATAAGAAAAAAGAAAAAGAAGAAAAAAAGAAGAAAAAAAAAGAAGAAAAAAAAATGAAGAAAAAAAAAAGACTTTTTTTTCAATACATATAAAACACAAAAAAGTTTCATTAAACAAACCAGCTTGGATAAAATTGTTGGAGAGGCTGACTGAATGTTGTCAGTCTCAAGAAATAATTTCACATTCTCATTCATGTATATGATATCGCCATTCTTCAAGTGAATCATCTAAAAAGAGAAAAGCACAAAATTAAATTTTGTCATGGGATCAAAACATCACATTAAACTTTAATATAAGCATGCATAAAAGAATTACCTTTTGGTTTTCAAGTACGTATAGTGTGTGCGTGTGTGTGGATACATATTTTTTAAAAGTAATTTGATTTTCCTATAGAGATAGAAAAAAAAAAGATCTCCCAAAAAAGCTCACAAATCTGTGACACTTACTCGGTTTTTACTTACTGCACTAACCAAATAATCCATCCAACCAGGATTTACAGAAGCATCTAAAGTTATCCAAGTTTTACTGGTATTCTGAAAAAAACAAAACAAAAAAAAAACAGAATTATCAACAGTTTTTTTTTGAATTACCTATATATTTTTTCCAATAAAATTCACAATCCTCACTCAATCTTAAATGACAATATTTATAGTCATTTGATTCCATTGCCCTGATATGTAGGCACTTACCTTATCACCAATTAGTTTACTGGCAAAATAAGTCAACACAAAGAATCTATTGAAAGGATAAAGCATAATAGGACATGATGTATAAAAGACTGAAATAATCTCTCACAAAATGGCACAAATTGCAAATAACTATAATTTTAATTTTTCTGCTAAATTCATTTTGAAAGTCACAATCAATTGCCATTTTATAATAAAAAGCATACACATAAGTATCATAGTGTAATTCTGCTTGTTCCACCATTAGTTTCTTAATTATCATATATGTACATGCCTTACCAATGCCTTATAAATAATGGGCTATTCCATTTTGATCAAGATAGAAAAGACATATCAGAGATGCTACTTGGCTTCAGTGAGAAAAAGAAACAAAGAAAAAAGAAGTGATAACAAATATCTGCTTCCAGTAAATGGAAAAGTTTTCAATCTTTTCATTTATACCCCCTTACTTCTTTAAACAATGATCAGCATTCATATATCTGTTATTGCAATATTTTGCTAAAGCTCAAATATTTAACAATGTGATTTCTATGGATATATAATTGTCATAGAACTGACCATGAAATTATTCAATCATTAACTTAAGAATTAAGATTCATCAGAAGTTTCAAATAAGAAAATTGAAATTTTCACAAGTATTTCTAGTTAAAATAAATAGAGATATGTATTCATAAACAATATATGTTTAATTATATCTAAATAACTTTGTTTCATGTAAAATAGAAGTAAACAAATAAAAGTTTGACAAATTATTTCTTGATCAATAAAATTTCATTTTCTTTACAAATAATAAGAAATTTGCATATATGCATTTTTAAAAGTCCAAGTATTTCCATAAAAAGTAATTATTTGTAGACACTTTGATGGCGTTTGATATTTTTGATAAATTATTCAGCACCAACCATGATCAAGGTATATTAAAAAGGGCTGCTATTGACATTTTTAATTTTTAGGAATATAGTTATGTTGTAGGCACAAATAACATAGCAAAGTGAAACAAATGGAATACAGAACTAAGAAATTTTACAATTTTTGTTATCAATTAAAAATTTGTTATTGTAATTATTGACACTTTCATCAGTATGTTTGGGATTTGTGATTACAGTAAATATATATATATATATATATATATGTATATAACAATTACCTACTAATTTTATATATATATATATATATATATATATATATAGCTAGCATGGGTTGGCGTTGCCTGTGCTTGATTCAAAAATCGTATGACTCATACAGCAATCGCTATCACTTGACTTAAAATATTTTTTTACCTTCGTTGCCTTTTAAAGGAGTGCCCTTTGCCATGCTGATGTTGCTACATGCCTTACTTCTTGCCTATCTCACACTGCGAATTTTTTCTAAGCTCTATACTAAACATTAAATCTTACGAAAAAAGAACTAAACAAAACAAACACAAAACAATCAGCTTTTAAAAAAGGACTTATAACTGGAAAAACCGAATGAAAAAAGAATGTTAACAACAAATACTTTTTCACATCCAACCCAGTTCTGCGGAATCAGAATCAATGTTGAGTTTAAGCAAGCAAATGAGCCAATTGGAGTAAAGTGCCATGCAGATTTTAATTTTTCCCACTTGTGACGAATGCAGCTATCGATTTTTTTTGCATGCTAGTTAACATTCGTGTCAGTCAGCTGTTGGCTCTCACACTGGCCAATAGAATCTTCCTGCCTATTTGTGGCAGCCAGCTATAGGCTCTCACTCTGGCCAGTAGAAAATGGCCGCAAACTAGATGAAAACTGCCGTAGAAGCATGAAAAAATCGATTATTTCCACTATCGATAGGAGTTGGGAAATGCAAAGTTGGTCTTGGCCTTCCCACTAACTTGGAGCATGTGCATGTAAATTTTGGTGTAAATCCATTGAAAATTGTGGCCGTGCATTCGTTACACACACACACATCCTGCCTTTTATAGATAGATATACATATATATATATATATATATCAATTAGCTAATTAGAAAAAGAAAAACAAAATATGGTTCCTTACTCTGTTTGCTTTCTTGAAGACAGATGTGAAGAGTCCATCCACAAGTTGTTCATTGGAATCAAGTCCACCAAACATCAGTTCAAAATCATCCACAGTCAAAGGATTAATCTTTACTAGCTTCTGACCATAGTCAGAATATTTATGACTTGAATATCCTGTGACAGAAGGACAGTTTTTTTTATCTGTAGTCTCATTAAGAGCTTGTGCCAACACTTGGAGGCAAGTGCTCTTGCCACTTCCTGGAGGACCAACAACCAAGATGCCTGAATAAATGTAGATTATTTATACTTATTATAGAGGCAAGAATTTTCAGGAATGGCATAAAATTATTTAACTTCCAATTATAGTTTTAGGAACTGAATATAATGATGCAATGAGTCATTTTTATAGACATATGAAAAAAATAATGTCAATCTTTGTTAAATTTTTATAAAATCGTTTTTTAAAAAAAAAAATGAATTAGTATTAAATCGAATAAATTAAAATTAAAAAGCCTTTTTGAAGCAGAATTATCATAAAAAATTAACATTTTTGCAATATTTTAATTAATGAATCTCTTGACTTTATCCAATAATTATGCTGAAGTTTTCTGATATTTAAGTCATATGCTGGACTTTTCTTATTCTCTAAATCTTAAAAAGCAATCTCTTGGAGTTTTGGGTCTGGAAATATTATAAGTATTATAATGAGCATATGGTTGCAAAGGAAAGAACAAACAAGGATTAAAATTTCAACAGCATGTATTGATCAATTTTCAGGATATATATATATATATATATATGTTATGTGAAAAAGTGACAAAATTGTTGATATATGGCCATCCTTTAGTGGCCGTTTGTATGGAAAGTGATTAGGTGGAAGGGTGTTGTTGGTAAGACCGGGAGTTGACAGATTTGTTGGGTAGGTTGACCAAGGTTACAGTTGGTGTCAGGAATGAGGCCTGGAGTGGATTAATGAAGGCGCATGGTAGCACAAGTAGGATGCCATTGGTGGGGTTGATCCATCTGTCTTCAAGGTTAAAATCAACATCGGTGTGTCTGTTGTTGGCAAGAAGTGTCTTCTTCATATCTATGGCTTAACAGGTGCTGGCTCCCAGGCTCATCCTTTTTTTTGTGGCAATGTTTATAATTTAGATTTTTGTGGGGATTTGCTTTGATGACTAGATGTGATGCTCAGAGCCCCCTGTGCAGAAAGCAACTTTTATTTTGGGCTTTACTTTCTTAGTTCTCACATCCAGCCAATATGTCTAGTGAGAAGGTATTTTGCTTAAAGTAGTAACATAAGTATTCCACTAATTTTATATTTATTGAGTTTGTTAAAAATATTAACCTGGAGTTTATAATTCTTGTTTCCCACCATGTCTTCATGGGTATTTTCAGCAGGGATCACTCAATTTCAGGGTATTTACCATTAACCCAGTCATTGAGATTAGAGTCATGCAAAGTCTGGTTACTTTATTCTTTCAAATTTCTTGTGGAACAAAGGACTGCAACCATACTCAGTTATGCTGATGTGCTTTCAATAGCAAGTGGATTCTTTATGGAGTTTGGTTGCTAGCCTAATGTCTAAGACAGTCTGTCTTACAGGGCTAAAGGTCTCCAACTATTCTACTCTTTACCAATAGCTATGAGAAGTAGTTTCAGAAAGGTATTGGCACAAAATGAATGCAAGCTGTCCCAGCTGATCTAAGTTTGCCAATTCCATTCTTCTTGATGCTAAATGTTAAGCAATCCAAACCAAAAAATTCTGGAAAGCAACTGACCATATTTTCCAAAATGGCAGAATGCACAAACCATTATCAAAATGATGAGAATGAATAGAAAACTTATTTTTGGCCTTCAAACTTGATTATGACAAAAGACAAAATAAAAAAATCAAAACAAAACAAAACGAAATAAAATTTTTTTACCATTGTAAACATTATTAGCTGTGTTGAGCTGGATGCATTTTTCTAGCAAAGATTTGCTTGTAGTTAAATTCATTTGGCTGAGTTTTTTGCAGATGGCTTTCTCTAAACCTGAAGTCTTTTGGATGTCTTTGGTGGCAACATTAGTTGATCCATAAATGGCTGCATTTACCAGGGTTTGGAATCTCGAGAAAGTCTTTCAAAAGAAAAATTCAGAAAATTAAACTGTTTTATTATATTTTATTACTTTATTTATGTTAAACTTTTAGTGCTCATTCTTCCATTATTGAACATAACATATTTCTGATACCAGATGAGCATTAATCATATTTTAACATTATATGTAAGCACATATTTTATTTCAGTCTTTTCCATATATAATGTTATATTTTCTTGCATATAACATTTGTCTGGGATTGTATATTTTTTAGTTACTGGGCACATTATTTGTCCTTGATTTTTACTTTGATGAGAGTGGACCAACAAACTTGGTTTAGCTATTTTTTAATCATTGTTATATTTAGTATTACCATTTTATGGTAATATATATTAGTTGTTGCCCAGTTTTTTTGTTATAAATTGCTTTTTAATACGTTTGTTTTTATTGAACTGATGAGATAACAATATATATTTTTATATATTAAGAAAAATATTTGGAAAAAATGTATAACTGAAGTGTATATATATATATCAGGTCATCCCATAAGTTCTGTCCGAATTTTAACTTTTTGTTAAAATGAATAAAATTTAAAGAGTATTTTATAATGTCTAATGGAGCTGAACATTATTTTTATGTTTAGATGCATTTAAACTGATCAAATTTTGTTTCAGAGAACAATAAAATTAAATTTTGTTTGATTAAAACCTTGCTAACATGGAAGTACCCAAGAATCATTTGAGGCACATGATGCTTTATGAGTTCAAGAAAGGAAACTCAGCAGCCGAAGCGGCTAGAACATTCACTCAGTTTATGGAGAGGAATGTGTGAATGAAAGAACTTGCAGAAGATGGTTTGCAAAATTCAGAAGTGGAGATTTCACCCTTGAAGATGAAGATCGAACCGGACGTCCAGTTGAGTTTGATGAAAAGCTTCTTGAAGCAGCCCTTGAAAAAAATCCTGCTTTATCAGTTGAGGAATTGGCAGTGGTTCTCAGTTTAAACCATACAACTGTTCATCGTCATCTTCAACAACTTGGAAAAGTTCCTAAACTTGGAAAATGGGTGCCTCATGAATTGTCTGAAAACAACCTCAAATCCCGAGTTGAAATTTGCTCTTCTCTCTATTCTCGCCAACTTGTTTCACCTTTTTTGGATAGACTTGTGACTGGCGACGAAAAATGGATCTTTTATTGAAATGTTAAGCGTCATAGACAGTGGCTTGGTAAAGGGGAAGGACCCCAGCCACAGCCGAGAAGGGAACTTCTTTCAATCTGGTGGGATCACCAAGGAATAATCCACTTTGAATTCTTACCACCTAATGCAACAATTAATGCTCAAATACACTGTCAGCAATTAGAGCATTTGAACCAAGCTTTGAGGAAAAAAAAGACCTGCTCTAGTGAATCGAAAAGAGTGATGTTTCATCAGGACAATGCGCGACCACACACAGCAAGAATCATGTCACAAAAGATCGAAGAACTTGGTTGGGAGAAAATTCCTCATCCACCTTATTTTCCCGATCTTGCTCCTTCAGATTACCATTTGTTTCGTAGCTTACAGAATCATTTGGAAGAAACAGCTTTTGTAACACAGGAAGAAGTTAACACTGACATTTGTGAGTTCTTTGAATCAAAGCCAAAAGAATTTTACAATAATGGAATTAGTAAGCTTGTTAATAGATGGAAGGAAGTCATAGATAATCAGGGAAAATACATTGTTGATTGAATCTGTAATTAAATGTAACATTTGGTCACTTGTTTTCTTTATTCAAAATTCGGACAGAACTTATGGGATGACCTTATATATATATATATACACACACAGATATATATATATATATATATATATATACACACACACACACACACTCTTCAGACATTTAACATCATCAAACATTTGCAATACATCACCTCACCAAGGGAATGTCATCTGCAACAAACCCTGGTGTCTGGTCTGCAAACACATCACCACTCACAATATTTACACCCCACCAGCCCCAGTACTCAGGTGGAATTCAAACCACCGGCTCTAAGATGTGATAATTCCAAACTTGTATATTTACTTTTCTATCACAAATGTGAGAAAGGGAATTATGTTGGGGAAATCAGAACAGAGTATCATTTACGTTAACCACAAGAAAAGCATCAGGGACAACAACAACAATTTCTGGTCTCTGTACACTTCAACGAACCTGATCATAGCATTGTTGATGTTAGGTGCATGCTTTTAGCATCTTGGTTCAGTAGCCCAGAGGATAGATGCAGATCGAAGTTGAAGTATATCCTAAAAGAATATTCCCACATAGAGGGACTAAACAGAGATTTGGGTTTACACAGAGAGTATAAATTCCACAAGGAAATCCATTATCAGTAACACCCCTTATCGAATGAGTAAGCCTTCCACCCACATTTTAACTCTAAATTTTAACAGCCATCACCTACCTACTATATTTTTAACAACCATCTCCTACCTACTGTATTTTTTATGTTCTACTACTTATGATTTCCCTTATGATGCACTATTCAATAATGTAACACTGTACACTGAGGGCTACTTTTCACTGTCTTTTATACCATCATTGATTCTATTATTATGGCTCCTTTACATATAAGCTTATCTAAAGAATGGGAAAGGTTAGTGTAGATACATATTAATCTTGTATATGTATTTATATCTTTACATGTATTAAGATTCATGTTTGTGTGGTGGCTTGTGTATATTTTTTATTTTATTTTATTTTCTGTACCCACTTTTCTTGTTAACAATAGACTTCCAAATTTTTATCCATTTTTTGTTCCTTCCCTTTTTTCTTTTCATTTAATAATATTTTATTATTATATATTCCATTTTTCCTCCTCATTTTTTTTCATCACATCATATTCTAACCACAATCCATCTTCTACACTTGACAACTTGGTCCAACATGTTTGGCTACAACTTGCAGCACATGAGACGTCTTTTTCCCTCCTCAACTTATAACTCTCTTCATCTATGTTTACAATCTCATTCCCCCACTCCCTCCACTAGTAATAATAGACCTGCCTAATGCTTTTACACCAATCAAAATTTTAAATTTAAGTTTATTTTCATAAAAAGTTTCACACATTGAGGAATCAGAGAGATCTGTTTTTTTGCTAACAATATGATTTCCACCAGAAAATATACCATCTACAAAAACATCTGTCAGAGAGTAATTCCCATTTCATTGTTTATTTCTTGGTCCATTGATGAAGGACACAGGCACGTGCGAAAATTCCGACTTAAAACCTTTCCCTTGATGCTTCATGTCTGTCATATGGTTAATAATTAATATTCAATAAATATTTATTGTACTGATTATATTGGCACCCTTTCATTTTGTTCTATTAACTAACCTATCTATTCTCTTTCTCTCTCTCTCTCTATATATATATATATATATATACATATATATATATATAGAGAGAGATATGTATTAGTGAATATACATAATATCCAATGTCGATAGCACAACTCAAGAGTTTCATGCAGTTCTTGCAATCTTCAGGTGCAAATATATATAACTAACAAATGTTAATATGTTCATTTTCATATGACAACAGAATTGGAAATAGCAATAGGGAGACAGATCATGTGAAGAGGAGGAGAAATAGAGGATGATTGAGAAAGTTTGAGGGGGCTGAAAAGAAATGTGGGGAGGGATGGAAATGAAAGACAGACAGGCAAGTAGGTAAGGTTACTGCCTTGAATTTTATTATTTCTTTACCTGTTTATTTAATTTTTTTTCTTTTAGAGCATGACTCACATCTTGAAAGTAGGTAAATACTACTGTATTAATACAGAGATGATATAATGCAAAATAATTTAAATCTATATTGAAAAGGAAAGTAAGCTGTAAGGCAAAAAAAAGAATAATCAATAAAAAAAATAAAATAAATTTAAAAGTTTAAAATTTCAACATTTCCTCTCCTTCATGTGCATGTGTAGTTACATCAAAAGTTAAAAATTAATTCTCTTTTATTGATTATATTACTTTAATCTGATGAAATCCTAAAGGATGAAATGTGACACATGAAATTTTTTTCCATTTTGTTATTAATATTCCTAGCAACAATCGAGTAAAACATAGAAATGAGCTAATGAAAAGTGCAATTGCATTGTCAGTAAGATTAATATGTATGTAAAATAAGAGATTTTGTCAGTTTATACTTACACAATTACAATTGTCTTGAAGCTATTAACATCAATTACATCTGAAAATTATACATTTTAAGCAATTATTAAATATGAAATTGTTATGGTCCAGGTCCTTGTACCATGGTGATAGTCCAAGGTAGAACCAAATAAGAAGAACTCAAACACGGATATGGAATAACACAGATATATTACAAACAAGAATATATACAGAGAAGTAGAAAGTGTTAGTACGAATAATCAGGTTTAGTAGGGAGAACAATGTAGTCTTGGCCAGTATCACTATTCCAATGTCTTGTAGTAATTGTCTGAACGCAACTCTGTTTCGGACTGCCTATGACTCGACTGACTGACTAAATTGCTCTGACTAACAGACTCCTGACGGACTTCTGACGGACCTCACTCCAGACTTCAGACTAAACTCCCTGCTTCCTCTTGAGGCGCAGTATTTATTATGTATGGAATAGTCCATTATGTTATTATGGGTAAGGTCCCATAACAGAAATGAATCTTGACTGCTTTGCCAAAAATGACAACAAGTTAAAATCGTTTCTTTCTGAGAAGTAAATCCAACAAAAAAACCTCAGGAAATCATACTTGTTTAATTTTAGGACATCTGAATGAATTTTAATTTTCAATGCCTGATACATATATATATATATATATATATATATATATATATATATATATATATATATATAACTGATTGTAGCTCAGAGTTGAGTACTACCAAGAGTCATTTGTATTAAAAAGTACTATACACACAATACAATAAATTGAGCTTTAAATATTAAAAAAGTTAGAAACCCCTTAATCACTACTGTGGTTTCAACCATTAAGGTCTTGTCAGGCAGTAGATGCTAGCTAATTTCCTAATACTTTATTGGCTTATTTATGTGTTAGAGAAGGGAAGGGGTAAGGCAAGAATGGGGAAGTAGGGTGGGAAGGAGAGTGAGAAAAAAAATTACATACTATCATCCTGGTTTGTATAAACTCAAAATATACTTTCCATCCCACCCTACTTCCCAACTTTTGCCTCACCCCTTCCCTTCTGTAACACTTCCTGTTGTGCACACATAAAATTAGCCAATAAAGTATTAGAAAATTAGCTAGCATTTGCTGCCTAACAAAACCTAATGGTTGAAAATGTGATAGTGAGTGTGTGATTCCTAAGTTTTTAATATTTTATATATATATATATATATATATATATATATATATATATAAAGATTTAATAAGCCAGTTAATAAAATTTGAGGAATAAAAAGCCAAGAAAATGGTAACAATATTGGCAATAAGACTAGCAATAAGATTGACGATATTTATTATACATTAGCCTTTTAACTAAATTAAAGAGAAAGATTTTAAAGTTGAAATTTTTTAACATGCCAGTGTCCTTTTTCAACAAGACAAGGAATAAACAAAGATGTGGGACTTACACTTCCAAGGAATGTTGTTGTTGATGAGAGGGCTTCCTGCGGAAATTATACTCTCTGAGTAAACCCAAATCCCTCTTAATATCCCAATGTATGATTTTATTTTGAAAATATATTTCAACTACAATTTGCATCTTATTTGTTAGATGTTGAATGAAGATGCTAAAAGCATGTATCTGATGTCATCAATGCTGTAAAATGGTTGGTTGAAGGGTGCAGTGACAGGTAAATTGTTGTTATTGTCTTTGATATTTTTTTTTATGGTTATTGAGCTGAAGATGGAATTCAGTGCCTGTTTCTCCAATATAATTTCCTTTTTTTTTCATTTGTGGTAGAAAAGTAAATATATAAAATTTGAACTGCCACAAGTATTGAATATTGTGTGTGTGCCAGTGGTGTGTGAAATTGCTATCAATGATGATATGCTTACAGACTTGGTATCAGGGTTTAGTGCAGTGAGGTGGCGAACTATGCATGTCGGATGATCTTAGGAGTATGTGTAGGTTGAAGAACTGACATCTAGCTTGAAGTGGGTTCTTGCTGAATATCTAATTGTTTGGTTGAGTTTTAAATACTGGAAATCATTGGTTAAGATATAGAAAACCTTCTGAATATTGTAATTAAAATATATATTTCATATTCAGATTTTCAAAAGATATGAAATTCAAAAGTTACAAATTAATTCTCTTTTATTCATATTCACTATCATTTCTGCCATAGAACATTTCCTTCATAACTTGAAATTTTTTGTTCTTTTGTGCAATATGTATTTATATGTTGATCGTGTTTTTTAAGAACTTATAATATTTAACTAAAAATATAATATTGTCACAGATTTTAACTTACATCAGCATCCATTCCTAGGCTTAGAGACTCTTCAATGGCCTGGATTAATATTTTCAGGTCTGTTTTCTTGACATGAGCTGCTGAGAGAGAATTTCTAGCACCAGAACTGATCTGAGATTGCCTTGATGTACTACCAAGACTTGCTGGAGAAAGAAAATAAAAATTACAGTGGAGAATAAATTATTTTTTGTACAACAATTTTTTAATATTTAAGTTTAATGAAAAAGTGTTTATATAGATATTTATTAAGCTTAACATAGTATGTCACAAGGCCATATTTTAGAGAATTCACTACAAAAGTAATAGTCTGCTAGACAAGATTGCCAACCATTGCTTCATAGAGATGCACTCATATGAAGTGTGTGTGAATGAAAATGTTTATGTATTTAAAGATAACTGAATGTGTGTGTGTGTGTGGAAAGTATTTATTGGTGTCATCAGTAAAATTGCTACTAAATAGTTTTGTGAATGGAGGGTAGGTTATTAAATTTTATTAGTAGACAAAAAAGGACATTTAAGTATACTAATGCATAATGTTGTGATGTGGGATATTTTATGATGATGATTATTATTATACATATACATACACACACACACACATGATAAGAACAAATAAGAAACGTTTATCAATTTAACATGTTTCACTTTTATTAAAGCTTCATCAGGGAATGAGATATGGAGAAAAAGAAGAAATAAATTCTAGTATTTTATTTTTGTGTTTGATTTTTATTGGTTAATCATGTTTCACAGGTATTTGAGTTTTTAAACCAACATTAGTATAATTTGTTATGTTCTGAATTAAAGGTGAGATGACATATCCATCCAAAGTTTCAAGAAATTAATGAATTCCAAGCCTACATTAAAAACTAGATGAAAAAAATATAGCTTAATGTGTGTAAGTGTATAAAAATTCTAGTTTGCCTATGTGGGATTTAGATGATGATGTATATTTGCCTATGTGTAATAGACATTATGTTAGTTTTTTGCATGTTGATTTGGGAACATTTTTACATATTTACTGTTTGTTTTAGATAAACATACATAAGATTCTTTAAGAATGGATTTAATAAAGGTTGGTAATGTAATATTATGTTTTTGACATGTGTTTATAGTTGGTAATATTGTTATTAGTAGGCTCACAAAGTACTTTCTTCATAAAGAATTATGTTCTTTTTTAATTAAAGTGGCCTTAGTAAAGTCAAAGTTATGGCCAGATTTGTTACTATTTATTATGAGAGGGTTTGAATGATTGTCTAAACATAAATCTCTTTTATGTTCATAGATATGGGCTTTTAGATCTTATGATATCTCGCTGATAAATTCTTTTACATTATAAACAATTATTTGATAAGTACCAATGTAACCCAACACCCCGGTGCTCTGGTCCAAAACCTGGTCAGCAGTCGCTTTTGTTCAATCCACAACCTCCCTGCCACATTGTGATTTTTGATCTCAGGGCAATGTAGATTGAACTCTGCAGGAACCCTTCCCACATGAACCTATAGGTGGTTTGTTGGCTTTCACTTTGCTGGAAACTATCTGTAGGTTGAGTAAGTTTTGGTAGTAAAGTACTTGTTGGTACTTGTTCTCCAGTCTTGTAATTTTCAGTGGCAAGTCTGTCTGGTCATCACTTGAGCTGTACTTGCCAACTTTCTTCTATCTCTACCCAACTGTCTCCACTCTGCCCAACTGTTCTGTTAAAATGCCCCAAGCATCTTGATTTTATAGACCAAAACTCCAAGCTGGAGTGGGGTGGGGTTTTGGTGTTTTCTTCAAATTTTTTAATTAATCCAATTCTAACAGGTTTATTTGTTTAGCATTTTTGTGCAAGGTATTATGATTTCCAAATTTGAGAATTACTTTGTCCTGCAGGGAGAGGGCATAGGATTTTCTCCTCCCTGTTAGTCTCACTTCCTCAGAGACATATCTCTCACCAGTGCTGTGATTGGGTGAAGACAACTCTATATTTCACCTGTGACCATTCCTTTGGGTTGCCACTTCCATTGAACTGTTGCTTACACCACCACTGGACTGGGTGGAGTTAACTCCTCCTTCTACATAATCCTGCAGGCCTCACTTTGGCAATCATCCATTGTATTTTTTCTTTGACTGCCAATAATTCTACAACTGCAATTTTTATCATTTGGAGAATCTTCAAATTATTCGACTTTCCCAGCGAAAGTGAAAAATCTCAATTTCGGGGTTTGTTTACAAACACTTTCTGCCTCTTTAACAATCTCACATCTGCTATATTTATCAGTTGGGGAAATCTTTAAATTATTTATCTTTCCCAGCAAAAGTGAAAATCTCAACTTCGAGGTTTGTTTATGCACACTTTCTGCCTCTTTAGGACTGTCAACAATCTTACATCTGCTATATTTATCAGTTGGAGAAATCTTTAAAATTTGTTTTTATTTCCATAGCATGACCTCTTTTGACACCAGGCAGATGCATAATTCATTTTTCTTTAACCACTTTCAGTCTGCACTATTCATAAAATAACTGAAGTACATTTCCCAGCATCCATCTAAAATCCTATTGTCCATTGGAGTCCCCCCCCACCATCCCAACTGGTCACTAATCAAATCCTTAAGTTATCTTTAGGCTTTTATCTTAAGAAATCCAAAATAATTCCGCATACTTTTCAACTCTAGCCAAGTGGAAATTACCCCAGGTGGCCATCACAAAGAGAAATATTGTCATCCATTTTTTATCAGCTGTCCTTGTTTTCAGGAAGAAAGAAGAAAGAAAAAAATAGGTTTTTCTTTTTTTTTCTTTTTGAACAAGATAGAAATGTTTTCACTGCTTTACTCAGTCTATTTTTCTATCCTTTGACTCCTTTTTTCCAGCTTATATATTACGTTTAACTTTCTTTCACCAGGCCACTTTGTCACACCAGCATCTGAATTGATGCTGGATTTATTTTTCTTCCTAATTATATCTCCAATTGTCTTGAACATGGTAGTAAATATTCCAAGTATTAAGGATAACTAATTTATTTACAAGTTTAGTAGAAAGAGTGTTAGAAAGTAGGATTAGGAATTTTGTGGTGTTGTTGTTAGAAGTGATATTGTTGATGTTTAATTTTTTGGGTTCACTTCTAAGCCTTCTATTCACAAAACAATTGAATATAATGAGATAAAATTCATTATTCTTCATACATTATGGTCACTTTTTAAGTATACGAGAAGACATTTAAAAAACTGGAAGAGCAATTTTTATAAAGACCAGAAAACAATCAGCAAATACAGAAGACACATAGCTATATATTAAAATGAAGATTTGACCTCAAAATCATTTAAAAATATTTGGAAGAAAAAGTAATTGATTTTGGAAAGAACACTGCAAATTTTACAATACATTTATACACATTTTGTGAAATGATTGCATACATTTATTTTCTGTACTTATACACACCCACATACACACACATTATCCTCATCATCAGCCCCATAATCAGGTGTGGTCATAGGCTAACTGCACAGTTGAGTACCTAACCAGTTCCGCCACATACCTGTGTGACACTATTTAGCTATAGTAATTGGCTAACTAATTAACCATAGAAATTAAAAATGGGAAATACTTAAAGCGAGAAAGAGCTATATCAAAAGATAGACTGAGCGACATTAAAAAGAAGAATTTATTTTATTTACAAAAAAAGATACTTTTCGCAAAAGATAGAAGATCCATAAGAAAAAGCGAGATTGTGATTCTGTCAAAATTAATTAATGTCACGATAAGGGAGTGATGTGCCAAACGAAACAGAATTCAGACAGAGGGGCAGAGCTGGCCACACAGGGTGGCCATAAAAACATTTTGGCTCAAAGCCGCGGTACAGGCGGGGAGAATCGATATTAATTATCTTTCAGAGATATCATTTAACTTTAATTCTTGGTTCCAGCGAAGAAAGCCATCTGGTATATGCACGAATCTTGGCATGAGAAGGAAAATCGAAAAAGGAATCATTATTATTGCTTATTCAAACTGTTGATGTTAGACATAGCGTCTTGAAAATGAGCATCTGGTGATAAGAGAATTTTAAGGCATGAGAAAAATAAAGAATATGAGTAAACACAACCACCCAGTTAAAAGTTGACTAGCAGAGAAACCAGGTGTTGGGTTTTGACAGTGATTAATGAGTCAGTAGAGGTCTGGGCTAAGTGGATTTTGGGTGTCCCCAAAATCAAGATGTGATAAGAATTAGTTGGCAATCTGGGATTTGTAAATGTTTTGGCTGAAGGAAAAGGAAAAAGAAAAAAAGGATTTTGTAAACAAAATTCTGGGTAATAATTCTAAGAGGACCAGTCTAGCCACACCCACACTGCCGAGAGATCATTGGCCAAGTGGTAGCATGGGTGATGAGAAAGACGGAGAAGTTGTAAACACCCACTGAGGGGATTGGCATGAGATACCAATGTGAGAGAGGAAGAGTCTAGGAGGATAACTCTCCTCTGACCTTCCCTCATGGACGAGAGAGGAACCCCTGAAGTGGAAAGTGATTAATTTTCCAAAAATGGGAAGTAATTAATTTTCCTGGCCTAAGAATAAAGAGAATTCTTGTTGGGAATTGAAAATTACCAAGGAACCCAAACCACATCAGGCCCCCACATCAGGTTTTGGTTGGTGTCCATATAAACGAACGTCTCAAGGCAGCTGATCAGTCAATTCAAGTTTGGAGTTAGTTCGAGAAGTTGGAGAGTGTTGCCTCGCAGAAGCTAACTGAAAGATTTCCACATCCTCTCGACTTCGTCAATAAAACTTGCTTTTGGTAGGAAGACTAACGATTTAAGATACCATAACTTGCTTAAGAAACGCAAAAATTGTCGCGAATCCATAGAAGCGGGCTGAGAGAGAAACACACTCCTGTATTCAACAGACAGATAAAGATAATTGTTATTTCTCAACATATTTGAACCTCTTGAGTTTGCTTTATTATTTTTTTTTTACTTACACTTGTGCGGTATCACCTTTACCCCAGATTCAGCTTGCACTATGGCCTGATCCTGATTGATTTCGTCTACTTAAGATGAAAGTCACAATGTGGGTAGGTTAGACTTGAGATCAAAGCAGTTACTTCAGGGACCAGATGTTGGAGGCGAGCTGAGAACGACAAAGCTGGTATCGAACTGGGAATGACCAGATTGATCGGGACACAGGCTGGTGGCAGCGACAAAGAGTCAACCCCAAAATGCTGGTAGAAGAAACCTTACAGCTTTGCGCCGCAACTGGGAGTTGACCATGGGCTGACGGCGCAGTGTCATATATTGACATTGCGACCAGTAGATGTCACACATTGGCGCAGCAACCACACCAGTGGGTGTCACATATTGGACCACGACTGTGACCACTGGTGGATGTCACACCTGGGTTGAAAGCCAAAAAGGTATTCATCATTCGTAGTGTGTTTTGGGGGCAGAGCTCATCCAGGTAAAACCAAAGTTGATGTTCTCCAACTTGAAGGCTTGCATTGGTCACAAATACATAGATGTTGATTCCATCAGGAAAACTCTCTACCCTAGTCTTTTGACTTCAGTCTAGGAAGCCCTCCACTCTACAAGAAGCCATTTTCTAGATGTCTATTGACCCTACAAGAAGTTTCACCTGTCCTTTGACAAGTCTCATTTTTGATCCTGCTGGGTGTCTAATTATCCTCCTCATCAGAAAGCTTCAGTGAGGGAAGCTGTGTAGTCACCAGTGAACCAGCTATGTTGCAGGTAGTACTGGGTCACATGGTACCAGTAACCTTGAGTGATCTGACATGTATATATATATATATATATATATATATATATATATATATATATATATATATATATACACTTTTTTATATATTGGACATCATCTGTTATACTAAGTATAATTATTATAGTAATTTTTTTTAAAATGGTTAATAATTGAATGCAATCAATAAATGATAAAATAAAATAAAAATAATGTATATAATAAATAATACAAAAAATTGTCAAATATACATAGGACCAATTGTTTATTGTTAAAACTATTTCTAAATAACAGAAAATAATCAATTATGCAGAATGAATAGTAAAAATAAACAATGTAAAACAAAAGTTAGGACTCAAAAGACATCTACAAATTCAAAGATATGTCCTCTTCCTTAAAAAAAAGATTACATTAAAACAAAATCAGTCATTCATGCCAATGAATAAATAAGTTAGCAAATATAAGAACATAATGTATTAATATTTGTGATAGAATGAGATAATAATATGTGAAATATTTGTAATAAAATAAACTTGCCAAATGACACCCTTTTCTTAAAAGATAATCAAAAAAACCTAAAAAATAAACAAATTGTGACCATAATAGATAAATAAAATATATAGTTTATTGAACAGAAATAATAAATAACATAATAAAAAGAATAAATAAATACATAAATAATCATCACTTATTTTTTTAAAAGTTTCTTGGAGTAATGTAAAAAATGTCTATTCACAATATATATGATAAAAATATAGTGTTATTGTATGCTTTTAAGGTATCCCTGATATTGAGCACTTCTACGCAGAAATATTAAGGAATAAAAGTGCTCAATATCCATGAAATTGAGTGTTATGCAAACATAAAAGTGAATGCTGAGGTCAGCACTGAGCAGCAACAGCCTGTTTCATGTTTGAACACAGTCTTCAAGCCTTATATATATATATATATATATATATATATATATAGCTTTCAACTCATTGTATTGGAATCAAAAGTAGTTTTTCTGTCTCTTGTAAAAACTGATACTCTTTGTTTTTTTACCTTTGCTTGTTGAAGTTGACACTTGACTCTCTGGCCTCAGAATATTTTCTAACTTCTCCCAGGATTTTTCATCTCGAGAAAGTTGAATCTGAAAAGCCCTCTTCACAGTAGAAATCAAGGAGGACAGATGGAAACGACTGCTGTACATGGAGGGTCTTTTTAATAGGGAAGAAGCAAAAACTTGTATTATACATTTTGGCAGAAGAAAAATGACTTTTTAATAACATTCTTAAATTTATCCAGAATATCACTTTTGTTTTAGTAAATTATGCATTTGATAGGCATTAATAAATAATTCATCCTGTTTTTACAATAACTACTTTTTATGTCAAAAATGAGTTGCAAATATGCAATTTGATTACTGTACAAAAATTAGATATTTATTTTAATATATTTCTCTTCAGAAATAGTATCCAGATATGGATTTATACATATAAGCTACCTGAAAATTTGGAAAAAAGGGTTATCATTTGAATACAAAATTAATTCAGGCGTTACATCTTAAATGATAAGAAAAGTGAATAATATAGATCCCACTAAGTGACAATTTTTTATTTAAAATGTTCAAAAATATCAATTTCATGGTAGTAGAAATAGTAATTATTTTTTGTTATTTCTTTTAAATTTGTAAACATCTTTATATAGTAAATCAAATAAGTATTGTCTTTGTTGGCATTGTGAACTGAAACAGGATATTAAAATCTTTTACAAAGAATATTTTTTACTTTTCTTCTTCATCATCAAAAGTAATTTACAAATATCTATGGAGAGTACAGTCTTTATTAACTTATAAATCATGAATGATTTCTTGTTGGTTTAATAGAATATACCATCAAATCTATTTCTTAAGGATAAAGTAGATTTCATGTTTTGAACTTCATTATATATTCCCCCCTCCCAGACCAAAATGTCAGTTTCACTTACAGATGATTTCTAGCGAGTGATGCAATTTCTAGAAGTCTTCCAGCCAGAAAATTTGCTCCTTTAAAACCACTTGAAAAAAAATTTCCTTTTAGAATCCAAAATGCATCTGGCTTGATTAGGGACACAGTTCGGAAGACACTTTTCACTTTCTGAGGAAAGTGCCAATCTGAACTCAGCTGAACTGTCACAGTCATGAAGAATGCAACTGAAGGGTTGACATTTGGAAGCTGAAGCAAAAAAGACAAATATGACTTTATCAAAATCATTTATTACAGATTATTAATATATTCTACGATTATCAATGTTACCAAATCTCAAATCAGAAATCTTTTGAAAGTCACAAGAACTAAGAGTTAATATTTTTCAAAACAAACAGATTCCAATATAAAATAATATGATTATTTATGGTAAGGTTATTCTGATATTGTTAAAATGAAACAAGTTTCTTTGAAAAGGTGGAAATGCATTAGGCTTAATGTCTAGACAATACTGGATTACAAAACAAAATGAAAGCAATACAAAATAGTGTGTGTGTGTGTGTGAGTGTGTGTGTGTACATGTATATGGATGCAAGGTTATTGCTACTCATTCTTTGGGAACAAGGAAAATGTACAAACTTTATAAAAACAAAAATCAATGAAAGAAAGAGATAATGATAGATTAATAGAATGGAAAGAGTGTATTTTTGATTAGTGCCACTTCAACATATTAAAGAAAAAGAAAACATGATTATATAGTTATCTGTAAGCATACAGCAAGAATAATAATCAATAACTGCTATCGAAATATAAGTTAATTTTTCATGCAGTGTTAGTTTAGAAGGTAAAACAATGACTGAAAAAGATAATTAGAAATTATTGATATAAGTTGCATGTACAGACAAGATGGCATTTGAAATAAAAATAAAAATACTGTTTTTTATGAAATAGAATAAAATAATTATGTTCTAGGTTATGGCCAATTTGCAATTCAATACCAACATTTGTAGAATTGAGTATTAAATTATAATCTATATTAGAATGATCCAGTTTCGGTTTGTAGATGTGTTTGTTACAGTAACATATAAAAAACAATATATTGTAATGAAATTATTATGAGAAAAATATTGTTAAATACTCTAGCTCAAAGAATAAAATATTTTTGCAGACAACTGCAAAATAATAACAGGGTGGGGTTTGCATATGCATTCAAACCAATAATAATGATCTGATTTTTGTATATTTGTGTGGTGACTGAAAAAATTGAAAAGAAAATCATATTACTAATTACTGATAATTTTATTTGATAAAATAAAAATATTTTTATTACTTTATATCTTATTTTATTATTCAAGTCAAGGTTTCTTTAAATAAAATTGGTATTAACAGATGTTGGTACAATTTTCAATATTTACTTATTTATTATAAGAATTTCAGCTTATAACTTTATTTGAAATAATTATAATAAATTATTTGTGGGTGGGAGATTTTATGCAACTAAAAGGTTTTTTGCCACATTATAAATAAGTATATATAATTGAATAGTCATTGATATTCATTTTTTTAATTTCTGATATATAAAACTAGACATTGGCCATAAGAAATTTAGTACCTTAAAAAAGAAACATGATATTGAAGAGTCATTGAGTGATGAGAACATAACTTTGGAAATTGCATAAATGCCAAACAGTGATTAGATAACTATAAAAATGAAATTGAAATCATTGGTAAGAGAACAAGAAAAAAAATGGCTTTTAGAATGTTATAAAAAGAGCATTGAGAAAAATTAAAAGACTAATAAGCAACAATAGTAGATCAACCAGTAGGAAAAATATTTGAAAAAGTTGGTATTGCAAATATAAAGAGAGACAAAAGATATAGAATATCAAAAACTTTGGTCAAACAAATGATAACAACCTTTGAGTAAACATCACAATGAAAAACGTAATTTTTTTTAAAGAAGTACATGAAAACTAATTAATCAACAGTAACTTTAGTAATTAATATAGAACTATATCAGATTTTCCTGATGGCTGGTTTAGTGGTTGTGTCCTTCATAGAAATAGTCAACCAAATAGTCAATGATTAAAGAAGATAGAAGAGAAGGTATCATTATTTTACACAAAAGAAAAGAAAATGAGATGTTTATTTTATAAACCACTTTATAACAAAAGAAAACCCAAATAAAGCAGCAAAAACATGGCAACAAAACTAAAATTAGATAAAGAATTAAAAAAAATAATGAAAGTAGAACCATTAAAACTTATTGAAAGAGCTACAAGGGATGGGAGGATGTGGAGAGCCATGATCACCTACATCCTGAAAGGACATGGCACATAAAAAGAAAAAGAATTCATCTGAGAGATGCAAGGGATAGAGGGAGGTGGAGAGCCATGATCACCTACATCCTGAAAGGACATGGCACATAAAAAGAAAAAGAATTCATCTGAGAGGTGCAAGGGATGGGAGGATGTGGAGAGCCATGATCACCTACATCCTGAAAGGACACGGCACATAAAAAGAAAAAGAATTCATCTGAGAAATGCAAGGGATAGAGGGAGGTGGAGAACCATGATCACCTACATCCTGAAAGGACATGGCACATAAAAAGAAAAGAAAGGTATCATTTAATTTAGTGATAAATACAGTTATTTTTAAGTTACAATTTTCTTTTATTTCATTTTTTTACCAAAATATTGTATGTCAAATTAAAAGGAAATTTTATGTCCTTTTAAATGATATATCTTTTGGCTGGAATAATTTAATATGGTAATATTTCTCTTTAAATTATATTTTATCATAAACATGATCACATTATTTAAAGATGCAATATGAAATTAATTTTACATCTTATTTGTCAGTAAGATAAAATAATTTATAATATTTTGGGGGCAAGACCAAGGTATTTGAAATGTGAGGGGGGGGATATAGTTTTACAATTAGATGAAAGGTTTATATAAGTTTAAGTTGTATGGGACAATAGCTTTTGAAATTGTGTGTTTCAGAAGAGCTGCTTAAGATGCTATAAAGATTTAGAACATGACTGATGGTTATTGGGATAAATCCAGATGTTGACAACCAAGAAAATCCACCATAAAAAATGGATATGTATAGTCAGTGACTTTCAGTAATCAATAGAAAATTGACTAGAATTAATATAAGAAGTGACATATTTTGAAAACAGGTGTGGCAATCATAAAAACATTTACTCAAATAAAGAGTCTCATGTTTTATTAATAACAGGTGAACATTCATTTAATTTGACAAATAGCATAAAGATTGGAATTTGGAGTAATGGTATAAAATGATATAAATTAAAATTTAACATTTTTTGTGTTTGATGGTCATAGGTGCACTTGAAGAAGAATAGGTGAACAATATGCCCAGACAGAAGAGAAAGTGTCACAGTATGGTCCATTGCATTGGATGAAGGTTTTTACCAGGATAAGGACCCTAAAAATTAAAGACCAAATCTCAATTAACATCTAGCACAGTTAACAAACAAATGCAAAAGATCTCTATGTTAATATGGTAGAATATTGAAGAGATCCTTTTGATATCAGTAAGAATCTAATGTTATCAATTCCCTGTGTATTAAAACATTTTTATTATCCTGTTAGATATTAGCATTCTTTCAATTACTTATCTTTTTTGTTTAATAAAAATGGCAGATAACTAGTGTCTACCTAAAATAGCTGACCAAATTATTTTTGACAAATATACAATATATTGCTACGTTTAATTCATTCACATTAAAATACAGTTAAATGAGCCAAAATTGTACTTTAATATGCAGGAATAGATTAGAGTAAATATAAATTCAGTAAAACAAAATAATTACATCTGTGTATATTTCTGAGATGAGATATTGTAATTATTTACACTATTTACATTGTTTGAGCTGTTGTCCTCATCTTTATTGTCATATTCACAACATTTCAGCTGTTGTATGCTCCCACCTTCTTCAGGTTATATACATTGGAATTTCGAACTGAACCCCTTATTTTGTCCACTGGAGTAGATTGTTCTAGTTCCACATGCCATGCCTGTTCTGGATATCTCAGTTTCAGTTATTTCCCCAAGGACATATGGTTCAGTGGATAAAAAGCATTGGTTGAAGTAATCTAGTGACTTGACCCAAAGAGTTATATGTTCAATACCAGCCTACACAAGAGGGGAACAAAAAAAAGCTTGGAGGGAATTAACTGAAAATTGAGATATCCAGAAAAGGCATCCAGTGGATGAAATAAAGGGTTTGGTTTGAATTCTAACATATATCACCTGAAAAAAGCTGGAGTGTAAAATGGCTGAAACATGAATATGACAAGGAAGATGAATACAAACAATGTAAATGGTGTAAAATAATTACAATGTCTAAACTAATATATGCATGTCCTTAAGTGACACTACTGCATATTCTTGGCTGATTTTCAATTCAGTGTAAACAGTATTAAATCTGAAACCATAACAATAATAGATAATAACTGACTGGTAAATGTAAAAGATATAAATAAATGAAAAAAAAAAAATTTAAAGCCAAAATTAATTTTCTTTCCTGAAGGAAAATTATAACAACTCTTTATTAAAAATATTGATTTTGTATTGAAGTTTAGCCATGAAAAGTTTAGTGACTGATTATTAAAAACAAATCTGCATTTAAAATAAATTAGTAATTAAATAAAATGTAAAATGGAGATAGAGCATGAAACAAACAGGCAGAAATAAAGAAAAATACATTGAAAAAAAAATTAAAATCATTTTTATTGCACCAGTTAGTTAAAAATAGCACTCATTTCATCAGTTACAAACTCACCAAATTTCCAAAAAATGGATTGAGAAAAGATAAACTCTCAGTATTTTGGGTGTTGTGATCTGATTCCAGAGCCTTCAAGACAGTCATAGACAAAAAGACATAATATCTCTTTAAATCTTGCTAAACAAGTCACATAAATAAAGTATATTCTTACAGAAAGTCTTTAAGAAGAATTCCCATTATAAAGAGTGAGTCAAATGTTAGGCTCCAGATAAAAATGATGAAAAGTAATTCTTTTTTTAAAGATGGGAAAAATTAAGGAAAAAGAAGTCTTTCATTCAGACATGGTATTTTAGAACTAAGGAAATACTTCTAAATATAAGTTAAAATTATTCATTCTTATTGTTCCAGAAATTTGACTCACTCTGCAGAATTTAAATACAATAATTCAATTTTTTAATACCAACAATCATCATTTATGTTGTTGTCATTATTT